CACACATACACACACACACCTACACACACATACAAACACATACACACACATACACACACACGCGTGCACACTTGCCAGGTGTCGTTTGATGAAGAGGCCGTCAAGGGGCGCCACTGCGTCATGGTGGATGACCTGTGAGCTGCCGCCGGCTTTGCAGTGCTTTAGTATCGGCGCGCCGCGGCGAGAGGCGTGACTGGGCATCTTTTGGGGCGCCGTTGCCCTGCCTGGCGCGCGTGCATGCGCGGCCCCCGCGCCGCGCGGGTGGCCCGCGAAAGGCCAGTTTGAGTGCAGGGGCCTGTTTTCGCGACCGCTGTCCAGGAGCTTTCACCCCACTCGGACTCACAAGGGTCGATGCAGACATCCACCCACTCACATGTGCATGTAGTCAAGTAAGGTACGCATCCGTCAACTTACACTTACGTCACCCTCTGTTCTGCTGGCTTGCGTAATCCCCTGCCCGCCGTGTGCAGCTGCGACAGCGGACTGACCCTGGAGACAGTCCGAGACCGGCTGCTGGCCGCGGGGGCCGCGAGTGTCAAGTCCGTGGTGCTCCTGGACAAGAAGGCCCGCCGCAAGGTGGACTTTGTGCCGGACTACGTTGGGATGGACTGCCCCAACCAGTGAGCGGCGCAGCAGTCCGGAGAGTCGTGCAGAGCACGCGGGCCCTTGCGTGTGCGTGACACCGTGTGTGCATGTGTTTGCATGTGTGTGCGTGTCTGAGTGGGTGTGTGCATGCGTGTTCGAACACGTGTTTGTGTGCGTGTCTGTGTGCATGTGTGTGCGCATGCGTGCGTGCTTATGTGTGCATGCGCGCACGTGCTCGCGCCGTACGCCTAGCCCCCTGTGACTCTGTCTCCCGACCACAACCCTGCCGCCTCGCTCCCCACCCCTCCCGGCCCGGCCGCCTCGGCCCTCCCCCCAGGTGGGTGGCCGGCATGGGGATGGACACGAACCAGATCTACAGGGGGCTGGATCAGGTGGTGGTGCTCAAGGAGGACGCCATAAAGCGGGCCCTCGCGCTGTCAAAGTGATCCGGCCCTGATCTGAGATCTGAGATCTGAGACCTCGGCCGCGCAGCGGGCGGGGCGTCCGCTCAGCGGGTGGATGGGCGGGCGGGGGGCGGCGGCCGTGGCGGCGACGACGCGTGGGCACGGAGGGTCCCAAAATGCCATTGGGTGTGGTGCCAGTCAAGCAGCGGCTGACGCAGCACTGCAGATGCGTGTCCCTTTGAATTTTTGAACACGCGGCCGGTTTTGCTTCCCTTTTTGATAACCTCAACGGGAAAGCACGCGCTGGGGCGCCCCGCCGCACCATGAATTTCAGGAGGCATTGGGAATTTGGCTTTGAGGGTTTTGCAGGCAACGTGCGCCAGCATTTTCCTCCTTGCGCGTCGCCCGCGCCTTGCACATGTGCCCTGTAATTTTCTTCAGGCATGCGCGTGCGGGTGCACCCAACGGCTCAGCAAAGCCGAAAGACAAGGACAGGTGACTGTGATATTCACATGGGGCGATAGGCGGGCATGGACACACCACAAGTGGGGTGAGGCACCGCGATGGGCTTGGGATGCGCGAAGCGCGCGCACCCCACACGGTAGCCCTCACACCTGCTTGCCGACTAGACGCTGTTAGCGCGTCCTGTGGCGGCGCCCCTGCTGCATATTACAGCCTACCCAGCCCGCTAAATAGCGTATTTTGGCAGTCTCTGCCTGCGTACGGGTAGTGGCAAGAGCAAACAAGTCGCAGCAGCTGCTCAGCGGTTTCTTGCTGCAAGTTCCCCGTGAGCGCAGCTCTTGTGCTTGAGACCCGGCCCCTCCTGTGCCCGCTAGCAGCTGGTGTGCCGATGTTAATGACAGCGATCTGCGGCCCTTTCGCGGTCAACAGCATGCCACCGCCACTGCAGGCGAGAATCGCCGAGACCTCGCCAACTCGCAACCCCTGCCACACTCCCGCCACAGCCTGGCGAATGAGTGGCTGCTTGCCGCCAGTGGATTGTGAGAGGGCTGGTCACAAAGCCAGGGAGAACAAGTGGGAGCAGACCCCGGATGCTGTGTGCGTGTTCCAAGCAGCCGTGCGAGGCGCTCCCACAGTTGCGACAGTCCCACAGTTGCGATAGTCCCAATGCATCTCCTATAGCCTGGGCGGTTCAAGCGCGCGTGGCCGGCGCACTTTTGGGGGCGGCGCCCCTCTCGGCGCGCCCGATGTGTGGCGAAGCGCCGTGACGCAGGGCGTGGATCCAAAAACCGGCCAGGGGCAGTTTCTGTGTGCTGTCCAGTAATGTGTTGTGGTCAATGGTCATTCTTGGGGGTTGGGGTGGGGTGCAGTGCATGGTCGGGTACCCTGCAGGGCACGACCGTCAAGGGTAGAGCGATAGCAACAAAGATAGCAGTCCATCAGTGCCAGGGACCAGGTCAAAGCTGGTCATGGGTGCCAGGTGTGCCGCAGAAACCCCAGGCGCGAGTGAGGGTCGCAGGCGTGGCGTGTCAACCGCCGCGTTCGCCGACAGCGAAGCTGCCCGGACTGATGAGGTGTTTTCTGCGACGCCGCAGCCGCCCCAGGAGTTTGCTGACACGCTCTTTGCTTCGGTTGGCATCCAACATTGTTTTCATTGCGTGCAAGCCGCAAATGTCCACATCGTCAAATGGCCGGGATCATATCTTGTAGCGTAGCGGAACCTTGACGCAGGGCTCAAGAGTTTCGACGGCTATATATCATGCCAAGAATTTGATTTTGCAGCGTCGGATCGGGATAGTGACGAGGCCGCGCCGAGCGCAGCAGCAGGCGCGCGCACAGCAGCGCAGCGGCGGGCGCGCTTCGCGAGCAGCGCGGCGGCATGCCGTCCCTCTCGCGCGAGGAGCTGCAGGCGGAGTTCCAGGCGATCCAACATGAGACCCGCTGCGCCGCGGCCGCGGCGTCGCCCCTGCACGCCGCGGCGCAGCGCCACAACGCCTCGCCGGGCTCCTCAGGCGC